AACGATGAAAGCTTAATAACATTTCTTACATTTTTTATATTATTATATTAAAAGTGTTTTAGAACCAAATTTTGTCATGCACATAATATTTGTTCTTTTAATATTCTTGAAGATATATTGACGTTCTATAGTAACTTGTCCTCCTGAAAATCTCTACGCTCCCATCAAAAACTCAACTTTACAAAGGTTTCGTATCGTCCTGTCAAAAAGTTAAAACTTGAGGAAAAACTATCCAATATATTTAATATAGATTTATTACCTAGGATATTGTGCTTTACGATGATTCCAAAAAAAAAATGCTAGACTAACGCACCTCATTTCTCAAAGCTCAAATACACACCTTAAAACCACAACTATAATCAATCAATACATCATCGAAGGATTCAGCTATTCTCAAACTATCCACTATTTTCTTCACTCTATTTTATAAATTAATTACAATCTATACATCTTATAATTTAGAATTTTTATAAATAGCGAAACGACAAACTGTGCCTTTAGCAATGGAATGGCGAGATTAAACCGCCGTCGAACGTCATCTGGCGAACGCACGCGATAACCGACATTGACATACGCCAACTCACTGTTAGCGCTCACTCACTGGTTGTATTAAACAACTTTAAGTTCGTGATACGATGAAACATAAAACTTGCGGCAAACCGTAGCTCCCCCCGATTCCTGCCCCGCCTCCAACAGCGTTACCCGACCTAATGAAAAGTGCCAGGATTCGCACGCCGTTCTAACGATGATGCGCGGCCAAAGTGGAAAATCGCTCGGAGCTCGCACGTTTGCCGCGTTCGCAATTATTACGCAAACAATAATACCACGGAGAACTCATACACTTGGTCACACATGGGCTAAGAACGATCACGATGACGAAAGAAGACCGCGGCGTTACCTGGGTACACATTTCGATTATGGATGGTTCGCGCATATTTGTGATTACTAAATGGTATATTGTTTTTTAAATGGGCGAATGTTATGTTGAATTTTATTAAATAATTATGACGTAGAATAAGGGCGCTGCTGTAATGTCGCACTAAACTTTAATCTTGTAAGATTAATACGATATAATTAGTTTGGAAAAATTTCGCGATTAATCTTAATGGTCAAAGAGAATTTCGATTAGTCGTATGGAATGTCGCATATGCTCTCGCAATTTCTTTTATAATTTATAACTAATTTCATTAGCCATAATTTTAATTTAAAAAATCATAAAACCTATATTATGACAAATAATCTTAAAGATATTGTAATATTGTAGTAAGTAAGTAAGTAAGTAAGTAAGTAAGTAAGGAATATTAAAACTTTAATGCATTTGTTTTTTCTGTAAATATTCAAGTGCCCGTAATTTGAGAAAGTATTTGAAAAAAAAAATAAAATAAATAAAACAGTTCGGTATTTGCATATGTAATGCAATAGTTTGAGCAAAAATTTACAAATTATTATGAAACTTTAAAATCCACCTTTAAGAGGCATTACGCTTTAGTATTGGAAATAAATACATTAATATAGTATTATCCAATTACTCGTATGCATATTTTATTAGTAATACCGCAATTAGGAAACAGTTCATTACTACTAATGGGTTTATAGTTTACGATTGCGCCACTACAGTTACGTAATGCACAGTTATTGATCGACTATCGTTATAGATATTCAAGAGATTGGAATAAACGTATGATTACAGTTATTTCTTATCCTAAAATGCCACCAATTTATTCTTAAATGTAATCGATCGCAGAATCCAGATAATGTACCATGTTTGCGAGCCACTAGAAACATTAAAATATTGGCTGTATTTCCCCTAACTTGGATAAATCTCTGTATTATAGAGAGTAATATATGTGTAATTATGAAAATGTAGATGAATATAAAATATAAAATGTGAATGTGAGTAGGCAAAGGTAATATGAACTATTACTTCATCGAGTGTGCAATCCAATCAGCTTCGCTAAATCATGGAAATAAGTAAAGAAATATCATTTTCCTCTTCGTCATGGCAATCGTACTTGCTGCTAAGTCTCCAGATACCAATGCGCGTTCTAGCATTTACAGTCTATATTTGTGACATTACCACTCTCGCAATTGCAGAAGTCCCCTTATATCTAACGTCTAAGCTGAATCCTGACGGACGAGCTTACAAGCTTTCCATTCGCGTCATGGGTGCAATCTAGTTTAAATGCAATTCCACAGCCATCCTCGAGAGTGTCACTCTTCAGTCCTCTTTCTCTCTCTCTCTCTCTCTCTCTCTCTCTCTCTCTCTGTCTATATATATATATATATATATATATATATATATATATATATATATATATATATCTTTATATTTGTGTACAAGTGCCCCCTCCCGAGTGGAGTAATTTGTCGCTGTAGTTGCATTTTTTATGAGCCATTTTCACTTCTTTGCAACATCTCGTTCCTTTATATTTTGTAAACGAGTCATTTTGTAAATATGTAGGATAATATAATATTATAATGATGTAATTGCTAAGTAATTATTATACGTGTTGACTAATGTATGCTTCAATTTGGGAAATAAACTTATATTTTTAAAATGTTTATTTACGTTTCAGCAACAAAAGTTTTAATTCTATAAACAGCTATAACATTCTCAACATTTTTCAACAGATATTCACTTTATATCGAATAGTTTCTGTAATAAAACATAAGATACAATATATATATATAAAGATGTGTGTGTGTGTGTGTGTGTGTGTGTATACACACTACAAAAATTGTATTTGTCTATTGAATACGATTTATGGATATTTAGAACACAATTCAAAATTTTAATTTTTATTATCAATTTTTATTGTAAAATATTTGTAAATTACTATAAAAAGAATTTTACATCTAAAATTTTTACTCATGAGTATACATTGTAATATATAATAAGTTAAAACAATATATTTACACCCATCCACACTCACTTACGCACTTGCACACTTCCGCACATACACAAACACACACACGCGCAGATATATAGCTTGACATTATTATCGACGATATGGTCGAAATATGCAGTGAACTCGAAAAAAACTACTGATTTACATAATTCATTAATTTAAAACAAAAAATCATAAATAGCAGTTAATAATCAAATTGCATTTTTACAGCAGTAAATTATATAGACAATACAGATTAGTAAATTATATTTTCATTTTGTAATATATTAAAAAATCATCAATTTTAAAAAGATGTATTTTACATAACTTCGAATATTTTAAAAGATTATCGATCTTTCCTTATTCATTCTCATTCTTTTATTACCGAATTGATTACTGAAAAAAATATTGATGTCTCCTGTAGTTAGATGTAAATGAATTGTAAATAATAAACGTAAATAAATTATTTTTATGTCGATTTTGCATATTATTATTATTACTAAGAAAGTCTAATTTTGTAATATCAATTTTAGTTTATAGCAAATAAAGCTTCGCAATAGTTTGTTATGAGCAGTGTTGGAAAACATTTGAAAATTAATTACCATAAATAAATTGCATACAAAACTTTTTGCGATCACATTTATATATTAATGAAATAAAAATTTAATGAAATAATTTTATAAGTATTTCAAAAAGGAAAATTTCAGTAGACATAATTTATCCTTCTGTGTATTTATATTAAATGAATTTCAAAATTTTTAACGTCTGTTTGAAATTATTTGGAAGCTTTCCATATTACTTCATGAATTTTTAAATTTATTTATCACAAAAGTAATTCTTATTATTATTTTATATATTTAGTTTTTTTTTCTGGTTAAATGTAGGGTTAAAAAGAAAAGTACGCTATTTTATGAAAAGAAATTTATTTATTTTATTTATTCATTTTTTTTTTTTTTTTTTTAAATTTTAACATATGTATCAAATTATGAATTTATTTATTACTTATACTGTTTAAAATAGTGATAAACATTTTCTTATATATATATATATATATATATATATAAATTTATTCGTTAATATATAGATTGTCAACTAAAAAAATTTGAAAAGAGCATAATCAAATTGCTCACTAGTTATTTAGCTTCGTAAATATAAAAAAAGCTCATATAGACTAATAATGCTAATATAATTTATAAAAAATAATAATTATAAATTAATAATAAAAAAGCATATAATGTGTAGATGTAAATTATAATAGATGTATTTTAAGTATTATTTGTCTACATATATCAATTCATTATTTACATAATCAAATCAATCATTAGAAACTTAATCGCGCAATTTTCATATTCACTTTGACTACGGATAATAATTTATTTACCAAACACAATTATTTTATTAATTTACAACCATATTTGCTTGCAATAAATAAATCATATAAACAAACTATATGTATCGCATGACCATAATAAGATATGAAAATAATTACATTGCATTATATAAATGACCTTCTTACTACAATACAGTAATTGTTAGATTAAATATCTAAACATAAATTTTAATATTTATTACATGTAGAATACTGTGATGTATCATAAAATACCATTATTTAATTGAAAGATAGATCCATAATTAAGCTATATTCTTTTTTATTATTCTTCGATTTTACACTAAAAGTTTTTCACGATGGACATTTAATGCAATTTCTTGAAAATTGTGTTACCTATCGTTTTTATTTAAAATTTCCGTTGGTACATATTTTTTTACTTTTCTATTAAAAGAACTTTTGGCGATCAGTATTTTTAGTAACATACAAATTTGTAATTTTGTTTGGTTTCAAGCCTTTATAAAGTATTTATAATTCTTTTGACATTTAAAGAATAGGCAAGCATTTAATCGACTTCAATTAATTGAGATCGAAATACTTCTCATAATGTACATATATTACATTACACACGCACACTTGCAGGCGCACACGCAAACACGCAAACACGCACGCACGCACGCACGCATACGCACAGACACACACGCGCGCGCGCGCGCACACACTTACACACACACACACACACACACACACACACACACTTATATATATATATATATATATATATATTTACAATGTCCTTTCGTGATAGGTAATAACTAAGATCTTTCATATGGAACAATAGATCTAATAAAATCAATACAAGCATAAACATTGGTAAATATGTCTGACAGCCCTACAGCACATGGAACACCAAACGAAGCAATGCCAATTAGTTTTCCATTTGCAACCAATGGAAGGCCACTGTCACCCTATTTAAATTTAAAAATGTCCTTGCTTAAATTAGATAGTTACGTACAATAATAACAAAATTTATTATTTAATGTACAGTCTTTTTTATTAAGATATATGAATTTTAAGTATCACAAATGAGATTTTGTGACAAATTTTAATTAAATTCTAATGAATATAATTATTTATTTTTATTTATTTATTAATGAAAAAATCATGAAAATATATAAACTCGAGGAAGGGAAATTGGAAAGGAACGTTTTGAAATATCATCTTTCGAAAGGCACAACATTGTGTTAAAGTATAACGATGAATATTTAAAAAAAATATTTTTCTAAAATTGAAGTTTGAAAAATTTTTTAGACTTACGTAGCATATGCCAACTCCATAGCTCTTAAAAACGCAGAGTTTGTCCTCGTTTATTTCAAACGGATGGGATCTTGCACAGGTTGTCTTATCGACTGTTAACGTATAAACTTCTTGTATTATTTCGATTAATGCGCCATTCGATTTAGTATGTTTACCCCATCCAGCCATAACGGCAACATCCCCGAGCCGAACATTCGAGGTTGGAAGGTCAATTTTATTTTGATATTCGTTAAATACGATTTCTCCAGTGACCTATTGATATAAAAATTTCGCACATTGTATTTAAAGAGAAGTATATAAGTATTTAATGAGAATACGGGCCATTTAAGTTATTGTGTAATTTTTAAAGAATAGCATAAATAAGAATTTCTTTTACAAAATATTAATACTTTTAAATCATATCAATCTAAATGATAGAATCTTTTTTATCAATTTTTTTTTTAAATATAAATTTATTTGCTTATATTTTAAATATTAAGTTACGAATAGTCGAAACATTTTTTGTAGTATTATAGTCGAATTTCTACTAGCTTACGATTTTTTTTTTTTTTTTTTTTTCGTTAATTTTATACAAATATACTATAATTTATTTTTACTAATTTGTCAATCTTGAATCACATAAGCATTGTTAAATAATGGAGTTAAAATTTATTGGAATATCTAACGGGGGTAAAACGATTTTAATGTTTCAAATGTTTCATTTGTGTTCGTAAATTGAAGATACAATAAAATGAAAATATTTATTGAAATTACTATTTATTTTTAAAATCTCATAATTGAATGAAATGAGATTTTGTAAAAGACTAAACTCGATGAGAATTGCAGCTCTAGATGTATCTTTATTTTTATGAAATTTTTCAACTACACCATTTCAACATTTACGAATAGATTTTGCTTATTACATTCTAACTTGTGATTAACGAATTACATAACGTGCAATTCATTACAAATCCGTGGCTATTATTATAGAGAAATACATTTTACTCAGCATCGCTTGTAGCCTATGTTATATGTGATTTTAATTATGTCAGAATTAATAAATGCATATCTCTACTTTACTCGAAGTTACGACTTAAGTTGCAATTAACTGACTTTACAAGAGCTATGACTTTCATTTACAATAGATATTTACATATAGAACTTGTGTGAATTTTCCTTAAACAAATATTCATCACATTAAAGTTAATTTAACTACTTGAAACTATTAATTGAACTTAACAATAAAACTAGCATTACTAAGCATTAAGCCGCCATGGAAAAGAATTGCGAACCCTTCTACAATTATAATATCTAACGATGACTAAATTCGTATTTTAGACGTCGCAACGAGTCCAATTTTGAAAAAGAAATTTCATTATTCATACATTATTTTTCATTACAAATAGATTGTCTATTAAGGTATTGAACGTTCGTGAAACTCAATACTCATGTACTACAACGTTATAACTGTAAAATTTAGCCTCCACCTCCTCACCCTTCTCATTCGCTGGTACAAATCCCTACACTAAGAAAGAAAATGACAAGAGGGAGCAGCGTTTGCTTGACGCCATCCAATGCAGCTTAGAAAACCACCTTTTATCCGCTCAGCTTCGAACGACTTAAACGCTTAAGAGAGAAAGAAGTCAAACGGGTTGAATGCAATGCAGTGTAGCCTCATAATGCTTGGAACTGATATATCGGAGCCGATGCAGACATCATCATTCAGATCGATGAAACTCCTACTTTTCATCAAGAGAGACTGATATGTATTTCGTCACTGTCTGTCTTTCGGAAGCCAATTGTCCCGAAAGGAACGACTCGACAAGAGAGATAAACACGGGAAAGGGAACACTCTTCGCGACACATCCGTACTTTTGAGAAAGATATTTAATGTGAATTAAATGCGTCCATCCCAGAGGCATTTTGAAATCGCAAGGATATGCTCTATTCAGGACATGACTAGTCCAGCTTTTCTCGATATTCTGCCAAAGGTTCTTTGTCTTTCCGTACATCTCCTCTTACATTTAAGCTTATCTTACATTCAATTCTCCACTGAAATCTTGAAACTGTCGAATAGTAATATTAAATACTCAAATAATAATATTAAATTGTATATATAAATTCATTATCACATTACTTCAAATTGCAATATTATCCACATAAAAGAAATTTCATTTTACATCTTTATATTAATATAACACTGTAAATTAATCAAAATTCTTTCAATGGAAATGGTAAATTGCAAATAAATATCTCGATGTATAATGTGAAGGTTTTCTTGAAAGCATGAAGTTTAAAAGTATTACATTAACGTAATTCTCACTTTACTCGCCATGCATTACATTATTTATATATTATAACATAATTTGTCTCATACGATGAATATCTCTTATATTTAAAATAAACATCATGAACGTAATTACATTTGTTCACCGATCATCCATGGCCCGTAAATTCAAGGGAATTCAATTAAAAAGTTCAATTTTGTAAATCCTCTGTGTGTGTGTGTGTGTGTGTGTGTGTGTGTGTGCGCGCGCGCGTGCGTGCGTGTGCGCGCGCGTGAAATATAATTAAGATAGATTTTTAGTACATTTTATAATAAAAATAAAACTGATAAATAATATAGAGATTTAAGAAAAATCATCGGCCATACCGTGACGATAGAGAGGTCGTATGGATAAATGCTATGTCCTTCCATGGAATCCAGAAACGCTGGATGATTATCTATATGACCAATTTCATAATACGGTCCGTCGATCCTCGATATACTGCTTGTTCCCACATATATTCTCAATAGATGAATTTTAGCCGGATATTTGTTTATACAGTGAGCTGATGTTAAAATGTGCTTGTGGCTAACAATTGCGCCAGTGCATTGGAGCTCGTTGGTTGGAGAATATCTTATCGTCACTGCGTACGGATGGAATCTTATATGACTGTCCGCGCCGCCAATTATTCTTACATTTTTACTCAAAGTACCTGACAAATGCGAGAAAATTTTCATACACAACTAATGGATTGTAATTTTCAATATTATATGCATTCATTATGGAAAAGCAGATTTTGGTACTCATTTGTTGTTCTAAAAATGACAAACAATTTAAAGAATTTGCATAGCTATATAATTCATTTTTAATTCGCGATAGAATTAAGTAAATTCGGTTAATAAAGTTAATACAGCTCAATACAAATATTTATAACTCCTAAAATAAAATTCACTTTTTCATAAATTCCGAGCTATTTTATCTACAATGCTTTCTGCAATACTGAGAAAATCGTGTTATCTTTTAATTATATTAAATATAAATATATTAAAATAAAGTTATAAATAATATGACATTATTTTCAGTATTGAATAATCCATTGCCGTATCAAATATATTTAAATATTAAATTATTTTTACAATTAATGAAGCTCATTGATTCATTGATTGAATTTATCTCAATTTGTTAAAAATATATTGATTCAAATTTATTGATTCAATTTCAACAATAACAATATAACTTACCAGCAATTAATGGTAAAAATAAAAGAACGAAGACTGAAAAATCCATTTTAATACTAAGAAATGAGTGAAAGAATAGTCGTGTTAAAAGTATTACTTGATCGAACTACAGAAATACTTGATATACTAACGAAATATAATTCGTGTTTGAATATTTTACTTAAACGATTTTCAGAGTTATATTATGTTATATGATATCGTAAATAAATATTAGTTGAGATAAGAATTATGCAAATACTGTGCTACCAATTACAATATATATATATATATATATATATATATATATATAAATATTATAAAAAATAGATGTTCATTTTCCTATGATTTAAATATCTATATATATTTATATAATATATATATATATTCGCACGTGTCTTTCCATACGTGTGTGTGTGTGTGCGTGTGTGTGTGTGCAGTGCGAGCCTTCGCCAGCTTGTGTGCGTATTTATTTCTTAAATTCTTTAAGATAGTAGTACATTATAAAATATAAAATGTATAGCTTGACATAAGCATATATTTACAAAAATTAAGCCTATTTGTAAACAATTTATTTAAATTATTATTTAAATTTTAAAAACGCGTTATAAAATTAAGGCTTATTTGATGAATAGTTTAAATAATTTCAAAATGTCAATAATAATAATATCTAGATTTCATGAATACTTGTATAACTGATAATAAGTACATTATTTTTTTTACACGATAATAAAGTAGAATTAGAACTGCAGATATTTTGATATTTTATGCGCTAATCTTTACAAGTTGTCTAAAATTACGACTTTTTTCTATATTTAATTAAATTTATAATTATTTATGAAATCGGAAAATAACTTTGAATTTATTATTATAATTTCATTCTTCTCATTATTATTAATTTCAAGCCAATTGTTTGCCAGTTTTGAAGAATAATAATACAATCTTTTCATTTTTCAAAGTATGAAAAGTTTCTTTACTTACTGATATACCATGTGAATATAACAAGTAATTGAATTTTATTTTACAAGGAAATACTTCTAATTATTTGTAGTACATAACACATTTAAAACCTTGACGTATTGTGTGGTAATAAAATTGAACTGAAAATGTGACAGGCATTTTGTAAAAATTAAATTGTCTATCAACTAGTTTAATTGCACATCGATCATCAATGATTATGTCATTACATATTTTTATTATATATAATAATCTATAAACTATCTATAATTTAAATATATATATATATATATATATATATATATATATAATTACTTATTTAACAAAATTCATAACAATATGCTCTTCAATTATAAATACAATAGTAATTATAGAAATATTAATCTTAATAAATTTGTAATTGTATCATTAAACAACACATTGCTTATTGTTAATGAATAACGATTTGTTAATATTAATACGTATTGATTGAATTATTCTTAAGAAAAATATTTTATTAAAATACCATTCATAAAATGAAGCATCCTTGGATTATGAAAAATATAATATTGCGTATCTTTACGAATGTAAAGTGAGGTAGCACAGTAAAAATCATAATAGAATAAAAAATTGTTTTATTCATCACAAAAGTACTAATACTAGCACCGGTAAAAATCTATTGACATAGTTGCAAGATAATGAAAATATAATGATAATTTAATGTAATGATAATAATACGGATTATTCAATGAAATATTTGAAAGCATTAGTAGACAATCTATCTACATCAGATATATACGTAACACAGGTTTTGTTAATTTTATTTAAAATCTAGATTTCATGAAATGCAT